AGCCTCTGAATCCTAAATGCGCAATCGGATCCAATCTCACATCAGCGATGTGACCAAGTGCTGGTTAGCCAAATATCCGACGCCGACCAAAATCTAAAGCAGCTCTACCAGATCTAACAACTCTACACGCAGCAGTCGGCAACCACATAAGATGACCCAAACCTGTCGAAGCCTGAATACCAGATCCACTGCTCGACAACCAATACCGATCCTCCTCCAGAAAGGAACGGCTCACTAAATCCGCCATCTCATCACGTCGCCCCACTGTCTCCTCTACTCTGAAGTGTCTCCAAATGCCATGAGCTCGGCACCAATGCAAGAAAGGACTCCTACTAGAACAAGTACGACTGGTAACCTTTCTGCCCATACACCTCCTCCAACTATTGCGGACTACTAGGGCTTTATACCAACGGGACTTGGTTGCAACCCAAATATGCCTAGTACAATCCCCAACATAGGAAACAAAATAACGATTACCTCCCGATGATGCCTCCTCGGAAAGCCCCCAAATGCCTGACTGAACACCTCCAATAAGACCTCTCGATCGATGGATAGAAGTGCTGAACTCCACCTCGGTCTTCTCGCTCATACCAATGTGCTCACAGGACTTCAATCTGCAGGTCATAGCACTCCTCAACAATCTGTGCACGGTATAACCAACAATATATCCCAGCACCAAACAATGCCACAGTCTAGCCATAGAAGTAGTCAGCGCCCTATCAACTACCATGCTCCCAAGCAGATAATACAAGTTACTCCGTCTGACTCCCTTCATCACAATCATGGACCCCGATGTGACCTTCAAGCGAGAATCCGCCAAGATCACCCTATAGCCTGATGCCTCCAATACCCCAAGTGAAATGATGTTCTTCCTCAGTTGAGGAACGAACCTCACATCAGCCAACTCCCGGATCATCCCGTCACTCATCCGAATCCGAACGGTACCAATACCACCAATAGGGCATCTGTGATCATTACCCATGAGAACAGCATCCCCTCTTTCCAACTCCTGAAAGCTGGAGAACCAATCCCTTCCAGGGCATATGTGGTAAGTAGCACTCGAAAGTCACCAGAAGCTGACTCGCACAGTTCCGAGTCACCAGGACTCTTGTTGGATACAAAACCTCCCCAAACACGGATTTCAATGATTTTTAAGGATTCTTTCGTCCCAAAACCTCTCCAACTGCTCTGAGGTTATCCATAAACACGTTTAGACAGTTATAAACCACAGATAACGTTTAAACATCAATTCCTACTAGGAGACACATCTCAAAAAGCCTATAAATAGAAGCCTAAGGTCTTCTTTCAAGGGGATCGGAGATTTGAGATTAAGAAGGCGAGGTGCTGTCAAATTGACCAGTCAACCACGAATTTTAGAGGAGAATCATCAGAGCTTGGCGAACACTTTCATAAAGAAAGCCCCTTCGAAAGGTTTGTGATTCTTTTCCCTTCTTTCCTCCGGATTAAACTTGGTTTTAATCTCGAGAAGAGCCACAATCTCGCTTGGTCGTGATTGTCGCTTCCGTAATTGTTTCCCTCGTGAAACAAGAGCGTAATTATATTGTCGATCGGCTTTGGTCTGCGGTGGTCCACGGACTAACGCGTCCCCGGCACAGGCAAAGATCCCATGCAAAGCAGCGGGAGATAAACTACTGCTGCGTTTTATTTGATAAAGTTGTAATCTTTATTTTTCGTTGTAAGAAGATCTTATAAAAAGACCAACTCTTCTTTCAGTTTGAACTTGTAATTGATAAACGGTGTAACAGGTTTGAAAACAATGGAAAAGACAACTTTTGACACAAACAGAACTGTGCGTCTAGACTTGAATGCTAGGGATGAACCCTACGTTTTGAACTTGAAACGCGGGAATGACCTCTGCGTTTTCAACTGGAACGCTGGGGATGAACCCTACATTTTGAACTTGAACGCTGGGGATGAACACTACGTTTTGAACTTGAAACACTGGCATGACCTCTGCATTTTGAATCTGGGATGTAAAGGTGAGCCTCGGTCAGGCTTGGTGAGCTTCAAGCTAAGTCTAATGTTCAGGCGAAGTCCTAGTCTTGCAGACGTACTTCAGAACATAAATTGCTGCGAAGAATAGGTCATAACTTTTAATCTGTAAGTCGGAATCAGACGAATTATATATGAAAATTGACTATCTCAATGAGACGGAGCAAACCAAACCAACCCCATGGGATTTGGTTTGCTCCTGTCCATTTTGCCAAATTCCTTACGGTTTGAGAGATATCTGCATTTTGATTTGAAGAGACCGTCAATTTGTAATCTCTTTTGCTAGAGTGTTGCAAAGATCATCATCTTGTAACCTTCATCTTGGCTCCTTGAAAATATAAGAGTCGTCACATTATAACTCCCGATGTTAATTATGAAGGCTGTTGAATTAGAACTTTCATCGGCTGTTGTGAAGGTCGTCAGATTGTAACCTTCATCGATCTACATGAAAGTCTTCAAATTATAGTCTTCTAGAAGCCGTCAAATTGTAACTTCCATTATCGGTATTTGATAGGGATCAACTATCTGCAGTAATTTTTAGACAGCCTACAAGCACCTCATCAGATCTCGGCCAATGAGCCCCTCAAGCAGAGCCTCTTCCCCTAGATATAGCATAGCGATGAGCCATTGATGATGAACTTTGGAATTTCTAAGAAAGCTAGGGTTCGAAGAAGAGTAGGAGAGTTTTTGAAATCAAAGTGAAGAAGAGAGAGGCAAAGAGTCTTATTTATAGGCTAAAACCCCCCCAAACTTCGCTCAAGCTCTCTCGCCCTAAACTTCGTCAAATATCTTATGACCAAACTTCGCCAAAGATCTCTCCGGTGAACTCCGTCGAATATTTCACCCCGAACTTCATAAGTTAGTTTAGCCTCGAACTTTGCCTGGAATCTCTCCTCAAATGAACTTTGTCGTAATTCCAAGCATGCAAATCAAAGACTTGAAGTTTATATCCTTAGGGATGAGCCTCGCCTAACCGACTTATTGAGCCTCACCAAAATGACTATTTCTTCAGTAAGTGAACCTTGCCCAATTCAACATTGCACTAAAGTCGAACCTCACCTAAACATTATAGTGAATTTCACCAAGTCTCCAAATTGAGAAAGTTACAACTCGATTTGTTCGGGGCTTTATATAGTGAACCTTGCCAAAATGACTTGACAAAATTCACTAAGTCTCCAAGTTGAGTAAAGCTTTAACTCAATTTGTTTGAGATACTTCAAACTGACTCTCGCTAGCACAAGTAAGCTTGAGCTTCGCTTCCAAATATGATGACTTCATGCAGAGATCAAGCCATGCAGAGTTCAAATTTGCTATAGAAGTACGAACAGATCAAGCACACAAAAGATGGACAATTTAAACATGAAGAAAAGTTTATTTTTATTGATTGAAGACTCTACTATATGAAGGTGATATTCAAGACTGCCCAATTATAAGGATGATGGGTACTTGTTGCTATTTGCTACTGCCCCATACTCCTAAAATATGGGTAATGTGACGCTTGAGGAACGGACATGAGCTACAGCAAGCTACAACCCTTGTTCCTCTAATGTTACAAGACTTGGGGAACCAAACATTTCCCCATGAAGATAAGAACTACCGCTATTCCTCTAAGTGAGACATATCAATGGAAAGAAGAATGTTCTTATATCAAAATTCAACATTAGGCTGGAGTCAGCCACACAATGTCTAATTATGATCTAGGATCACGTTCATGATACCTAGTTACTATTAGAGACTTTGCTTGTGGAGATCCAAATATCTTTCTTCAAGAGCCATTTCAGTCACCAAACGGTATTATGTAGAGTGAGGCACTCAAAGCTCCACGCGTCTCTATAGCAATTCACTTCGCCTAACACAGCTGATTGATTCTTGATTGTTTGGGTAGAAAATTGTTTTCATTGCTGAATTCA